ACACGCCTGTTTCACACATGAAGACCTTCCGTCTGAAATGGTGACACAGGCTTGATCGGACATCCCGGCTGTACCACCGTACAAAAATTTAAACCCCAGATTAATCGAGTGATATATGTTAGAGGAGTATTCAAACTTTAAAATGACCTTAGGGCAGGTGTTCCTTACTAAACTCTGGTCGAAATTAAATTTCAGCAACAGAGCATCAAATCGTGTTGCACAGTTTAGGAATTTTCACTGTAACAGTCTATTAGCTAAGAACATTTTAGGATAGCAACTTTTAGGGGCATTGCACCTGTAATATGCTAGAATGATGGCTGTAATAGGAAGTTAGTCATACCTAATGCAGGCAAGTGTACAACAAATGGAGATGACGTCGGCCAGAAACCAAATTTAAGGGTTATAAACTAGCATCTTCCAAAAGTACTCAGCACCATTACTCCGCGCGTAATATACATGACCTCCCAGTGATCTGGATCGTTTGAAGAGGTGTGCCGAGCGGTGAGTGCGCCTGCTGATCAGGATGGGACTGAGAACAAATAGATTCGGAAAATGACAGGTCAAACATCTTCAACCGATAGTTTCCACCGTTTGCTTCACAACATGGCGGGCTTATAGACAGTGACTTGTGCGTTAGTGAGGTTATAATAGTAATAGCCTTACTCTGCATCTACTGTACTCGTTCCTACCTTAGCCCATTTGGCCCCAATTTCACGACAGCGTCAAGAAGATCGGAGACGGGGTCAGACGTAATGACGAACAAAGCTAAAGCAGCCTTCTATGCGTCTCGTTTGCGCACGATGGACTAGGATTTGTCAGAACTACGGAAGGGGTCGCTCAGATCGGATCTGGCTTGGAGTGTCGTATGCTCCACATTCAGAAGCTATTGCGCCTGCTTCTCTGTCCTGCAAGGACTGAGTTCTCCCGTTAATTTACAGTCCTACACTCCACTGCTTTTGGCGTACCGTGGTAGTTTAAAGGTGCGTCATATCGTTTATAGTGAGAAGTATGCATGCAGGCGGTTGACCCCACTCTCTCTCTCCTTATCCCCCCTCAAAAAGCACTCCAATGTTCATGCCGGTCAGAAATCCGATATGAGTATGGGCGCAGGTGGCTGGCGCGGCGTGAGACGGTGCACAGACATGCCACTACTTCCCTCATATAGACCGTTTGTTATGCGCGCGTATTCTCAGTAAAACCTGTCT